TAAGTTCCTGCTTAAGTAAGAGTTTGTGTCATGCAAATATAAACCTTTATTTACACAGCCAGAGCGAGACTGAAGGTCGGTTTCGTTGAAATGGTGATTACCTTGAGAAACATCAGCCTACCAGCTGTTAAGATACCCAGAAAAAAATTTCAATTGAAGAAAATTGTTATTATGGATTAAAATGATGAAACAAAATGGTAATTGTTACAACCTGTAATGCTTTCCTTTCATGGATTATCAAGTTGAATATATCACTAAATATGTGACCCATCTGTAAATTCCAGAATAATAATAATAATAGTTGAAAATTAATATATATATTATGCATAATTTGTACAATTAATGATACAAAATATTATGCATTATAAAGATTCTGTATTTGATCTTGTAGTTCGTATTTTATACAAAATTGTTCATCTCTCTGTTTTTCTCAATTTTAACTAATAAATATTTTCTACTTAAATAGTATAACAAAGCCGATTGATGTCTGTTTCTGACAAGGGATAAACCAATACTTAACACCGTACATATATATATATAAAGACATGCACGGATAATTCATACATATTTATATAAACATAATTTATATCATTGTCTACTTCAATTAAGAAAAAAAATTCACATTAATACGTCAAGAATTTGTAACACTGGAGTTGAACAATTCCACTGCATATTTAGAAAGCTACTATAAATTACCGTCGTCCCTAATTTTGAACTATTGACTAGCAAGAAGACAGCCCATCAGAAGCACCCTATCACCCATAATATACGCCAAGGCATTAATTGTCTCTCTTATATTGCATCACAGCTTAAATTGCAGGGAGATTTTTATGGGATCGTACCGATTCGAACCCGGCTTGTTAGTTCTGAAATCCTGCGCTCTACCACAGGACCAGCCGCCTGCAACCGGATATCATACAACAAGAAAGTTGTGATATTTTTTTTAAACAACAAAGCACGTCTGACTTTAGACTTACGATCCTTTAAGCAGATAAGCTACCATTACTGATCATCCCAGTTTTATGTGAGATCGAGCCTTGGATCTATCGCAACCGAGGCGAGTAATCTTAACAACTTAGCTGCAGGCTTAACCTGCTACATACCTCTATTTTTAATAATCAATCTATCTTATTATCCCCCTTCTCTTTGACAAACATAAGCCCGCCTTGTAATAATCCTATTTTTACATCTATCATAGATAAAATCGAACCTTGGACCTCAAGCAAGCCAAGACGAGTCCTCTTCCAACTGAGCTAATGAGTCGACACTCGATAGCGATCGCCAGTTAGCCACTTTTGTAACAATTAAAATCTGATAAAGAAAAAACTTGTGTAGTCCAAATAGCAGGTTTAGTAGACATAATGCCAGAATTATGATGATCTACTTTCCATATTTCCACACGTGACAAAACAAACTTTCTAAAAGGATGGAAATTCTTTAAAAAGTGTAGGTTTCAACACATCTATACAGACAACCCAATTTTTTTATTAAAGTTAGCTTTCAACTGGTTCAGGAGTCGTCGTAAGACTTAACAAATAATATAAATTTACGATGTTTGTTTTTGAATTTCGCGCAAAGCTACACGAGGGCTATCTGCGATAGCCGTCCCTAATTTAGCAGTGTAAGACTAGAGGGAAGGCAGCTAGTCATCACCACCCACCGCCAACTCTTGGGCTACTCTTTTACCAACGAATAGTGGGATTGACCGTCACATTATAACGCCCCACGGCTGAAAGGGAGAGCATGGGGATTCGAACCCGCGACCCGCAGATTGCGAGTCGAGTGCTCTAACCACCTGGCCATGCCGGGCCTATAAATGTACGAAAGCTAGCTCCAGTAAAAGAATCTGGATTACATATATGACTGTGGTGAAAATTCTTTTTTTTTTATATTTTCATTCTAGTTTACCCACATTACAATAAGATGCTTCTTCAAAACTTTCGAATACCTTGTAAACATCTCATGTACTTTAAGTAATTAAATAATTATCAAGACAACCTATAAGTTAATCTTTCTTTCCACTCTTCTTAAAAGTTCGTAATCTACCACATGATACTTGATGGACACGACAACAATGATGTATCTATTTTCGATGAAGGAAATAATTAAGCGAAGTACTACTCTTACCTTAAAATAAGCTTATTAAAGTTTAGGATAAAAAGTCTGGTTATTGGCTGTAAACTCTCAAATCGTTTCTTCTAAACGTAAATGGCTTCTCTTACATGGTTAGCTAACTTCATTGATAGTTATTTGAATATTTTAAGACTTTAAGCAGATACTATCAGGAAGTCTTAAGAATGTTTGCATCTTCATACTATTCCATAAGCAGATACTATCAGGAAGTCTTAAGAAAGTTTGCATCTTCATACTATTCCACAAACTTACGATGTGTAATTAAGTCATAAGAAAATAAAACCATATAATTTCTAACATTTTTATTTAATAACGCGATGGCAGATCTGTAAAACCGTATTTAATCACCGAATCAAACACCATTCATCGTAAAAAAGTCTGTTCTACACTCTATGTTTACATTTAATGCTAAACCATTTCTAGCGATAGAATATTCAAAAGCTTGAGTTTAAACTGAAGCTTTAAGTTAATCAGCCAATCACATTTTTGGCGACATAATATCGAGAGTCTGATCTAGAATGTATGTTTAAATTCAGTGCTAAGCCTTTTATAATGATAGAGTCACAGATTAAATTAGAATTTTGAAAGAGGTGGGACTCTCTTTTGTGATCCACTTTGGAATTCCAATCAAAATACAAGGAACGCTAATGGCTCTAATCTTCCATTCCGAACCGTTCCGCCCCAGTTTAATCCCTGGATAGAGCGTTCGAAAGCTTGAGTTTATGGGTAATTATATTGATAATTATTATTACACTCAATAAGGGTAGCCTGTTTCAAATCATAATATAGACAGTATATTTTACAGTTAGATATTTCAATTGAAGGCCTAACGTGACCTATATTTTCTAAAACTTACTATGTATGGGTAGCATACACCAACATTTAGAATATATATAGCGCATATTAAAGCTTAACCCCGTTGGCTCAGCTAAAATCAGGTTTCGATACCCGCGATGAGCAGAGCTCTGATAGCTTATTGAGTAGCTTCGTGCTTAATAACAAACAAAATCTGAAGCTTAAGTTGGATAGCCTGTTTAGTGACTTATTATAGATAAGTTATTCTAACGCCTATGACAGAAACTTTATTCTATCAAAGGCATTTCGTTCATTGGTTCAGCATGAACAGCCTTTTGTAGAGACTACGCTGAATAGTGGATAACAACTGTCCCTTGTTTCATAATATTTTAAAACCTTTACAATTATGCATGAAAATAGAAAAAATGTTCATTCATAACGAAATAAAATTACTACAAGTAATATTTACGTGGTTAAATTCAAGTGTAACTTGGCGATCAGTGTGTAAAAAGAAAAATTATTAAGGCTAGAATGATGACATACTATTACAATAAGTTATTTCAAAGTAAGTTTTAGCTGCATGTTAATGGGAAATTCTGTTTTAATGATATTAAATTCCTAGCGTAACGATGGACAAGCAGTTTGGTAGAGTTATAACTCTTCCATTTCGTACTTGAAATCAGAGTTTTGTAAAAATTGCATTTGAGATCTATCTTTTTGTCGAATAAAAGTCGCCGCCCAACCAAGAGGCCTTTCTTTCAATTCATCAGTATTGCTGGTTGATGAGAGGCAGAAGTCTATTACAAACGCCATTGATATACGCAGTGTTAGTCTTAAAAGTTACGATTTAAACGTTAAAAGCTGGCGAAACGTTAGAAACCAACAGGCCTATAATTATGAGAAAACCACGAAAACCGGCATTTAAACAGTTACTCCTAAAATCTACAGTGACAAAGATACCGCCACGAAATTTAAAAAAAAAGGTACATTTAGAAAATAATAATAACATAATGGCCATGGTAAACGGCGGTCATGTATAATCCTGATAACGAGTAGTTTCATATTTACAGGACGGGAAGGAGGAAGAGGCGTTTCCATAAGTTGTCCTTTATTTTTGAATTCTTAAAACCTTGGCAGTTTCTTCTTCACCTACGAATCAGACACAAATATTTCGAAATGTTACAGTTTTGGAAATAGAATTACTTTAAGCTTGATTCACATAACATAAAACTACAAAAGAGCCTTGTTAATAACACCATCCGCACTTTTCATCAATAGCTAGTATACTGGAGAAACCGCTCATATAAACAACCTCTGACATTACAGAAAACTCAACCTACAAACAATATATATTGTTTAGCAAAAAACCCAACCTATAAACAATATAATGCCCTGTTCAATAATACAAAAAAAACCACATACAACAACACATAGTTTAACTAAACATTTCACCAATAAAAGATGTCTTATTTAGGTAAAGACTCCGATACAAGTAATATCTGGTTTGACAGACATTTTTAAATAATGCCTGTTTTAGCAGAAAGAATACATTTAAACAATACATGGTTTGACAAAAAACCTCACCTATAAACAACACCTGGTTTGACAGAAGGCCTTATCTATAAACAAAACCTGGTCTGACAGAAAACCGCGCCTATGAACAATACCTGGTTTAACAGAAAACCCCACCTATAAACAATACCTAGTTAAACAGAAAACCTCACCTATAAACAATACCTGTTTTGACAGGAAACTCTGTTTATAAAAGGACTAATTGATTTGACAGTTAAAAAACAGAAAACATCTGTTTTTCACTGTGCTTGCAAATTGATCTAATTTATCTCTCTTTTGTAAGCTCTTTCCGATAAATATATACACCTAGACATATATATATTCCATTAAATGTTATAGATATAGTTGTCTTTAATTTTTACAGCAGCTCAATAAAAAATAGTGACATTTTTCTTCATTTCTACGTAACGCAAGTTGTATGCAGTTGGCCTACAATTCAACGGCTACACACACACAAAGCTGCAGCGGACCGTCATTCGCTCTTTTAAAACAACACCAACCTTGCAAGTGGCCCTGATTTTCTGGCTCTTTGACTTAAAATTCTTTCTACGACAGATAGATTTCCACTTCTTGCAGCATCCAAAAGTTCTTGCTCTTTTCCCATGTCGACAGCATGCGCTAAAAGCGCCCTGTGATGATAGAATTTCCTTCCTTACATCCTACAGTAATATCCTCTACAACTTAGCTAGTAGCTCCGACGTCCATATTGAATACATTAGCGCCAACCCCGGTCGAACGCTGCGGGCGAATGTGGCGACACCATGTCTGAGTGAGTCTATCACATGACTACAGGCTTCAACACCAGCGCTTTCTGGTGATGGAAAAATCAGCTACGAGTTAGGCTTTAGAGAGTTATCAGTGAATAACTTTTTCGGTGTTTGCAAATGTAAATTTTGATGAAATGGAATGAGTAATTTTATGAAGACTGTGCAGAATTATCACCGCAGGCGATGTACGTGTAAGCCAGTTTTTGTAACCAGGTTATCAATATTGAAGAGATGACTCATCCAAACTTCACAGAAATATCACTGACATCGCTGTTCGCTAACAAAGGCCAATTTTTCGACGTTTCTTCGTTTGTGTTGAAGCTCTTTTTTTCTGATTAACGTATTACCCGTTGGACGTTGGTGTAGTGTGCGATTTTGCCAATGATGGAAAAGTTCATTGTATGTGTGGTGTTTACGCTCAGTTTATTCAGCAGTTGTAAGTTGAAAGTTCTTTTTCTGTTTTAAGTTAACGGACGATGCAATGAAATATGTGATAATCGCTCGATATGAGAGTGGAGCAATTTTATAACGTATTAAATTATATAATTATTTTGTTTGTTTGTTCAATTTCGCATAAAGTTACTCCAGGTCTGTTTGCACTAGTTGTCCCTAATTTAGAAGTGATGGACTAGAGGGAAGGCGCCTAGTCAACACCACCTACCGCCAACTCTTGGGTTACTCTAATCGAATAGTGGGACTGACCGTCACATTATAACCACCCCCAAGGCTGAAAGGGGGGGCATGTTTGGTGATGGAATTCGAAACCGCGATCCACAGGTGCAAGTCGAGTGCCCTCAGCACCTGACTATACTAGGCCCCAAGTATTTCTTTGTTTGTTGTTAAGCATAAAGCCACACAATGGACCATCTCTACTCTGTCCTCTGCGGGTATCGAAACCTTATTTTTAACGTTTATAATCCTTCAGACATATCTCTGAGCCACCGGGGAGGGGCTATGTATATGTACGGCATACTTAAAAAATGTTTTCATAATACAAGTATTTTTCGTGAAATTATTGAAATCCTTTAATTAATGATACTTGTATACACACATATGCGTGCGCGTAGATGCTTTCCTATACATATATATTTATAACTTTCAACACAGGATAATAAAAGCTTTTGAACGAATAACCTTCAATTTTATAACTTGCTTGATTTCAATTTTTAACAAAACTTACATTTTTTAACTTAAAATGTTTTATATCTTACAAAATTCTTAGGTGTGAATTGTGTGATGATCAAAAGCACATTCCGTTATTAAAATGATTTCACTCCTCTGGACATTACTATAAAACTTATCAGAAAGAAAGTATTCATTAAATTAAATAGTTTTATATATATTTCCATATACGGCTTACTATGCATTTGATACGTTTACAGCCCGTTTTATTATCAGATGAGACCACAGCCTATTCCATTTATTTATGAAGTGGATAAGCTCAGAACCCATTCTAATAGTGTTTTTATATATTAGATGAACCCAGAACCCATTCTAATTCTTTTAATGTACTAGTTGATCCCAGGACCAATTATAATTCTTTTTCTGTATTAGATGAGCCCAGAACCAAATCTAATTTTTTTATGTATCAAATGAGCCCAGAACTCATACTAATTATTTTTTGTATTAGATGAGCCCAAAACCCATTCTAATTCTTTTATGTATTAGATGGGCCCAGAACCCATTCCAGTTCTTTTCCGTGTATTAAATGAGCCCATTCTCAATTTTTATGTACTGGTTCAGTTTATAGCTCATTTTCAGACTTTTAAATATATCGAATGAACCCGTAACCCATTATCTCTTTTTCTCTTGTATCAGATGTGCTCACAGCTCATTCTCATTTTTCTTTATACATATATCGGAGCCCCAGTCGCCGTAAGTTTATAGTTTTAAGTAAATAGCGCACAACAAAAGCATTTCATGGGAGACAGATATAGGTTAAAACTGACTCGTCAAATTTGAATGTGAAGAAATATGTTGTTTTTATCTGAACCATGCAATAGTTGAGTGGAATGCTTGTAATTAACAATTATTTATAAAAATGTAGAAAGTTTTATTGCTTTGAAAAATCCTGACACACAAAAATAGATCTCACTATATATAGACACAGTCTTCGTAAAATTAATGTGATAAGAATAACGAAGCAAGAAATCCATTTTGAGAATTATAGCGACTGATAAATATACTTAAAACATCTGTTCAACGAATGATAATATGTTTTATGTCTTTTTTTAAGATTTAATAACTTTTAATAAGTTGTTAGAATTCTAAATTTAATTAAGCGTAGTTTAAGTATAAAAAAAATTTGCCCTACTGTTAATTAGAATCATTACTGAAAAGATTCGTGTTTTGTTTTTTCTTGAAAAAAAAAAGAGAAGAAAATGGGGGTAAGAAACAAAACAGTTGGACAAAACAATAAAAACAACTCGTGCGCACCTAAAGACTGAACTCTGACCTCATTATTTTCTCATTACTTTTTAGAAAAAAAAAGGATTTGGACTTATGCGTAAATGACCTAAACTACAAGATCAGAGACCCCTATGATTTAGGTATAGACTTCTATAATTTTGATGGTTTGTTTGTTGTTAAGCGCAAAGCTACAGAATGGGCTATCTGTGCTCTGTAATTTTGAATACTCACTAGAGGGAAAGACAGTCATCCAGTAGCACCTGCCACTACAAAGGCTTTATCCGGTTCCTTTAAACTGAATAAAGGATGAAATTGTGGAGCGTGTTCAGTGATATCTTGTCTCAAACCCTGGATTTTTCAATTAGTAGCCCGACTCGTTAACCATTGGGCCATGCTTCAGAATTTCACTTCATTGCAAGTTCTTTTAATTTGCTGTTTTGCTCTTCGGTGTTCTTAGACTTTGCATGGAAGTCATTAAAGGAGGACGAATAATGAAAACAATTATGGTTTAAATGCCTGAAGCCTAAAATTGTAATAAAATTACATTAAGTGCAGGTGTGTGTGTTTTTTTTTCCCGCGTCCCTCGTAATTTGTCCATTGCGGATTAAAAATCTGAGGCGTGTAAAAACAGCATTTCAGACCTATTTTTGTCTCTTACACGTCACTGCCCAAGACACCTTTCGTTTAATATCAGAACTTGTCAGTTGGATTGGACGATGAGACAGAAAATTCTCAGAAACACTATTCGTATATGCAATATAATACATTAAGATTTGCGGTTTAAGCGACAAAATGCTGTTTTCACACATTCCTGATATTTAGTTTGCAATGGACTAACTAAAAATAATGTAAGAAAAAAGAAACCACCTGCAGTTAATACGATTTTAATTAGAAACGTTAGACCTGTTTGGTGAAACAATTGCTAATTTTTTATGTTGCCATATTTATATTACACAATTACCATCTGTTTGTCATTGCTTCATAAGTCACTGTTAATTTGGTTTTGACAATGATCTTATTATCACAAGACTAATGAGATTCCTGTACAGATCGTCACCTTATTGTACCATGACTCATCACACAACAACTGATAATAGTAGAGGATGTCAATTTGAAACCATTGTTATAAATAGCTGTGTTATATTTGTATTTGCCCTCATTAATTGTAGTGCTGCAATAGTGCGCGCAAAGAAAATAAATAAAGAATACAACTCGTACATTGAAGTGTTATAAACATGAGTGCATAGCCGTATTATCTATTGGACACACTGAGCCCAGGCTCAGGGTCCCATGTCCAAAGAGAGCCTAGAAACAAAATCGAACTTTGTTATTTGATTATATTATTGCATTAGTAACTTTGTTATTTGTTTATATTATTGCATTAGTAACTTTGTTTGTTTATATTATTGCATTAGTAACTTTGTTATTTGTTTATATTATTGCATTAGTAACTTTGTTATTTGTTTATATTATTGCATTAGTAACTTTGTTATTTGTTTATATTATTGCATTAGTAACTTTGTTATTTGTTTATATTATTGCATTAGTAACTTTGTTTATTTTCTTGCTGCTTAACATTCGTTTCATTGTTTTTATCGGTTTCAATTTATTGATTTTCACATCGGCGAGTTTTGTTAAGAGTTAGATCGTCTATAAAGGTCGTATTTTAAAAGGGCTATGGTGGAGTTCACGTTGGGGGTCCATTTATTTCGCATCCAGAGGCCCATGCTTAGTTAATCCGAAACCGTATGAGTACGCAGGGTACTTCTATTATTAAAATAAGAAACACTATAAACCAAGCAGTGTCGTACAGGTGTTTGATGGCGCCCTATGCAACATATAAATTCGGCGCCCCCTTTTTGAACTGATGCCCAGTGCGAACGCACTGCTCGCACTTCAGACGGTACGCCCTGAAACCGAGTTATTTCAAAAGATAGACCTTTCTCCAGTCAAGAAGATTTACGTCAGCTTAAACCCTGGAGTTCAAGGTCAGGTTAAGAAGAAATACGTTTAACTTTACACTCTCGCGCTGTGGTTCAGTCTTGTTATCGTATGCCCTTTTAGGCTTAAGAATTTCTTAACTTTCTCTGTGGCATTGAATTTTCCAATAAGGCTATAAAAGCTTACTAAGATAGACCTTAAATAGTTCTCAAGCTTGTGTTTAAATGTGTTCAAACTGTTTTAAAAACATGCACACACACACACACACACACACATATATATATATATATAGAGAGAGAGAGAAACAGAGAGAGATCTTCGAATATACCTTTGACTGTTTAAATTTATGGAGCTATGTTTTTGCCTACGAAGATTAAATATTAACTGTGAAACATAAACCTTTATGAAAAGTATTTGTACTTGTACAAAACTAAAGGGTTTTAACTGATTTTATTCTCTGAAATATATTTTGCTAAATTTTGTTTCAAATTAGTATTTTATAAACGCTCAACTTTTTATGAATTAAATCGACTACATACTGGTTAGTGTGTTAATAAAGGTTACACACACACACAACATTTTAGTTAAGTAAAACTATACTAACCAGATTTCTGGTTTTCACGTGAGAAGCTCTCTAATTTCACACATGCCCGCAAGCTTTGAAGTTTTAAAGATTCCACGTGTACTCCATACATATATCTATATGCACGCGCATATAGTATTGTTATTCGTATGGACTGACGAACAGATACAGACAACTTTCAAACTACCAAGCGATAAAACATGAGTCACACATGTAATTATATGAGCACGAGTGAAACATTTCCAAAACTAGATAGTCTACTTGTCCTAGGGATGGGAGGTCTAACCCTAAATTACTATGACCTCAAACCTTTATTGCAACAGAACCGTACATCAAATATGGAAGAACATTATTTTAAAAACAATACATCATTCGGTGTTGTAACTATTATAGTTACGATTGAGTGAGTTAGATAGGTAGATTGATACAAATTTATCATCCATTCAAGCAAGATATGATGCAAACAGCACCAATCTAATGTTTCTGGTGTCAACAATGTACGAACTTGCACTATTCATAGAGTCAAAAAGAATAGAATAACAATAAAAGATAGAATAACAATAAAATATAAACTTAGATCCTAAAAATCCTAACTTTGTATTTGTAAATTATTTAACCCTTACCTTTCCGAAAATCAGATCTGCAATGCATTACAACCCTTTAGGATAACAAATTTTGATATATACAAATACATTTTCAATTAAGTGTCAAATTTCACCATCCCTTTCGAACTTAGCTAGATATTTCCTTTAAGGTGACTTTTGCTGTTTTAAATATTAAATATTGATGCTAGTTTCATATATTAATTTATTCCTGCGTGGAATGATCGTATTAATTAACCTTGAAAAATTATGTAAAAATATTGGGAAAGCTTACTGCAAAGACTTTCTCGTTTACTTTAACATCAACGGTTTTTCTCTATATAAACATTTTACAATAGAAACAAATCATTTCATTAGACTTTTAATCGTGCAATATCCTAAATGGCTCATCGATAAGGTTGGAGACTTATAACGTTAAATGACGAAATTAGGCTCCTGCAGCGGCACAGAGCAGGTGTAGCTTTGCACTTAAAACACAGAGCAGGTGTAGCTTCGCACTTAAAACATAGAGCAGGTGTAGCTTCGCACTTAAAACATAGAGCAGGTGTAGCTTTGCACTTAAAACACAGAGCAGGTGTAGCTTTGCACTTAAAACACAGAGCAGGTGTAGCTTTGCACTTAAAACATAGAGCAGGTGTAGCTTTGCACTTAAAACAATCAGATACTTAATATCCTGATGTTTCTAATTTTGGATTTTTTTTCATGTAATAGCAATGTTTTGTCAACAACACATTAGATTATTTATATTACGAAACACTTGAAGATCTCCAAGATAAGCGAATTTTTTACCGAAAAAAAACAATAAGACGAGTTGACTATTTAACTATATCTTATATAGATTAAGTTTATGACCTATTAATTACTGAATGTATATTCTATGGACTTGGCTGACCTTTTTTGTGGGTATATTGTTCATAATATTGCGTTCTTTGTACACTTGAAGAATACCAGATCTGAAACGTTGCCACGAAGCCTAAAACATGTAATGTTATCATGGGGTCTGAATAATTGTCGTTTAAACAGAAAGGTGTGATTTAAGTCCAAGTAGGCAACATTCTCAAGATGATCAAAGCACTGCCTAAATTTTTGAGTTATGATAATGAATAGTTTTTATGAAGTGGTTTTTTATATGTTAGAGTAAGAGTATCGAGTAAAGATAATAATGGTTTTTTCCTTTAATTTTAGACTGTGCAAGACAAATCAGGGATATGGCACCGGTGGCCATTTCATTCACCAGTCAGCTTGACGGTGTTCGACTTAATTTACCAGCAAATAGTAGAACTCCACTTGAAGTCAGTGACATAGAATATTCGGTTCGTTTTCTCGTTTTTGAAGCTCATACTCAAAAATACAGTTTAATATTTTCAACTCAACCGGACCTGAAAGAGAGCGGGCAGTCGGCAAATGGGAGTGATGTGGGATTGGTGTCAGTTTTAGGACATTATGAATCACATGTGAACATGTGGTTATACAATATAAATTCGGAAAAGGTCACGGCGTTGGTCAATATTACTCCTTATGAAAGTAGTGGTAAGTGATAAAATAACAATAATAAATAATTGATTATTTATACATGTACTTACTGCAGAAGTAATAAATAATGTTGCTGGGATTTCCTGCATCTTCTATGAATGATAGTAAAGCTAATTCAAATAAAATAATAATGAATAAATTAAATAATAAGTGTTAAGTGAAACAAATGTTGTTGTGTTATTAATTCTTAACATAAATATTTGATCTGGAAATGACTTAAATAAAAATTATAATAATTAGAATTTCTTTGCTTAATCTGGTTCACACTATAACAGTTGTTGTTCATGGAAATTTATAATATTCATGGCTCCAAGACCACTTCTATGTCTGTCGTATCTCAGCCTGCTTGATGAAACCTGGTATTGAGCGAAAGGCCTCATCGACATTGGATATGTCAAATGTAGTGTGATTGACATATCTATATAAACAATACGCTTGCGTTTGTTTGTCCGGAACTTTTCTCACAATTTAACGCTACAAATCTCATATCATTAGAAAGGACTTTATCCGAGAAGTCCGGATTGTATATTGGCTTTTCAATTCATACTCACCTTACCTGTTTTTTGTTTAGTCTAACTATTTATGCAACGAATGTGCTACACGATGGCACAATCTTTTTGTCTTCACGTGACGAGTGGCTTCATTTCAATTTTAGTTTGTTTTATTTTTATTTGGAGAGTATTTCACACAAACAACACTTAACACACGTGTAATTCCCTAAAAAACTAACATTACACTAAATTTCTCCATTTATTTAGGTCTAAAATACGCATGCGCAGTTCGTTCAAAACCATGTGCTTATCACTTTGTGAACACGCATTCAGACATTTCTGCATATTCAGCTAAGTTTGCCTTCATTATAACTTTACATTTACTTTACTTTGCAATAGTTTAGCTTCGGTTCATTTCATAAACTGCTATAAACACCTTTTAGCTACTTTTTCTTTACTACGGGTTTTATTCTTTGTTTTTGAGTTTCTTTGTTTCAACTCGTAAAACTGTGTAATACACTGAACGCTCATAACTGTTTTATACTCTGTACACTATTATATATACAAGTCCAGTTTTTGAGAATAGACCAGGATTTTTCGATCTAACACACAGTGCTTGCAAGAAAGCGTAGCTTAAATGGCGTGCGTGAAAATGATAGAATAGGGAAAATTCAAGCGAAGGGCATGAAAACTACGCAGTGGCACAGAGGAATGTCTGCGGACTTACAACGCTAGAGACCGGGTTTCGATACCCGTGGTGGGCAGAGCACAGATAGCTTATTGTGTACCTTTGTGCTTAATTGCAAAGAAACAAACAAACAAATAAACACTCACGGGCTTTTAGAATTGCTTCTGTGAAAGTTAGGGCCCCTTTTCTGATAATCTGAATGAGCTAATCATTATTGATTTACTGGAACAATGTTTTTTGGATTAGCTGATAATTTGCTTTATTAGTCACCTACCTGTCAATTTGTTAATTACACAAGTGATTATATTCTTGAAGAGTTTAACAATATTTAATTCAAAAATTAGTAACTGAACATTTAACAGTATCAGTAATATGACAGTATTTATCACATCAGTCATTATTATTAATAGGTATTTGTTCTGCACTTAGAAACAAGATAGTAATCTATTTTAATGCCACTTAGTGGCACAGCAGTATGTCTGCGGACTTACAACGCTAGAAACCGGGTTTCGATACCCATGGTGGGCAAAGCACAGACAGCACATTGGGTAGCTTTGTGCTTAACTACAAACAAACAAACAAACTGTTTTTAGAATTTTATATTAATATTTTTCTATTCAGTCCCCCGGTGGGACAGCGGTAAGTCTTCGGGTCTATAACACTGAAGTCAGGGGTTCGATTCCCCTCGATGGATACAGCAGATAGCCCAATGTGTCTTTGCTATAACAAACACACACACTTTTTCATTTCTACACACTCCTGTTCCAACAAAAAGTAAACTACCGTATATACGGCAATTTAATTTAATTTAGTAAACTTGGTTATCAATATATATATATATATTTATGCATAAGAAATTTCCACAAGATGTCGCAATCCAACAGAAATTTATATGATAGCTTCAGTTGGGAATAATATAAACATCCACCACATGAACTAAACATCTGACGGAAAGAAAATAATATAAACATGAACTAAACATCTGACGGAAAAAAAATAATATAAACATCCAACACATGAACTAAAGATCTGACGGAAAGAAAATAATATAAACATACACCACATGAACTAAAGATCTGACGGAAAGAAAATAATATAAACATACACCACATGAACTAAAGATCTGACAGAAATAAAATAATATAAACATACACCACATGAACTAAAGATCTGACAGAAATAAAATAATATAAACATACACCACATGAACTAAAGATCTGACAGAAATAAAATAATATAAACATACCCCACATGAACTAAAGACCTGACGGAAAGAAAATAATATAAACATACCCCACATGAACTAAAGACCTGACGGAAAGAAAATAATATAAACATAC